GAAATCATCAAGTAATCCAGATAGTCCCGAGTTATATCTTCTTATTTCTTTTTCGACTTTCTCTTCCTGGGGTTTTTGTTGCGATATTTCAGTTAGAATGTATCTTTTGGAAGTCTTGTTGAGATTTTGCTGTAAGTTCTTTTTTAATTCCAGGCAGTCTCCTCCCTTCCAGATCCTGCCCTTTTATTCTTCCTCTCTCCTTTCCTGTTTTCAAAAGCTTTTACTTATCCAGAAATCTTTATTATCCCTTTGACTTTTTATTTTCAGCATTAAATGCCTATTGATGTCCAAGTGGATTTTTTTCCAATTTCTTGCTTAAGTCTCTTAGCTGTCAGTATAGGAAAAGGAGAAAACCAAATCTTTTCCCTTTTCTCTCTCCTTCGCAGCTTAAAAATCTTCTTAGGGAACAATGTTATTGTTTTTTAACAGTTTCAATTCCAGGGTACCTTATTTGTTGCTTTTGCTGTTTGACCCGGTCAACCAAAACTTTCTCCTCTTATCTTCCTCCTGCACATTCTTTTCCGGTCGAGTTCTTCTTTGTGGCGGCCATTTCTGACCACCGCTGCAACCGCCTTCGGGAAAGGGAGTAATGGCCAGCTGGGGAGGAGAGATGCGGCTCTCCTCAACCCTGCTGGCAGTCTCCCCCCTCTTCACCACCTCTACGGGGTGGCTTAGCCCCGAAACCAGCCGGCTTGGGGCGTTCTAGCGGCGAGCACGGATCGAAGCCTCGCAGAGACAAGGTTTCGGTCTGTCGCTGAAGAAGCTCAAACCGGAAGAAAATGTTTTGCATCTTAAGTTTGCCTTTTTTTTTTTATCACTTATTTGGGTAATACAGGACTGTTATGGACAAGGTGATGCCTATCATTTATGGAGAAGTTCTAGTATTGTTTGTCAATGTACAAGGTTCATAAATTGGAATAGACATCGTACCAGGTCAGGCAATGGGGACTGTTTGGTGACCCAGACTGCTCAGAACCTGGGTGTGGCTTAAGTTCACTGATCTATATATATATATATGAGTGCCTCTGTAATATAATGCTTCTGTGTTTATATTGCTTCTGTGATTATGAATTCTGGATTCTTCTGGTTTTGACTTCTGCTGCATGGTATTGTATACAGCTGACATTGTTCAACCCATGTTCCTCTTTTCAGGAGAATATCATGAACTATAAATACATTAAAACTATCATAGACTTAGTACGTCACTTTATTTGTTTTCCATTAAAAATGGGTTTGTTCCTGGATTTTCATGGTAAGACCATGGAGGCTAGAGGTTGCAACAAAGAGGAAGGGGGATGGGGATTTCATGTGGCATGGCAGATCTCTTTGTTCCCCCAGTAACAAAGGGAAGAGAAATGCCACTTTGAAGCAATGGAAGAAGGTGCATATACCTTGTCTCCAATCAAAATGACTATCCCTTACTTAATGAAGGTATGTTTCACAGGGTAGATTTCCTCTGTAGAGCAATCAGCAACCTGGGGAAAAATTTAATCAGGAAAAATTGTTGTAAAGAAAGGGATTAAACATATTTGCAATGGTTCCAATGCTCTGGCGTTTTGTTAACTGGAAAAATATTATCCTATCAATACTAGATTGGCCCTGAACGCGATGATAAAGTTGTGCCTGACTAGTATAATCTAGACCATGAAAGTTGTGCTTTTTCATAAAGTGAGCAGTGGGCTCAATATGGCTCAATATATATACGTCAGACTGGTGTTTGTTTGTGGACAATTGGCCGCTGCTGAATGGGTTGCCTGCTTTCTCTCAACATCAGTTTTTCAAGTTTAGGAACATAACCATGTTTACTGCCACAGGCACATTAACAGTGGGAGTATCCTTTGCATATGATTTAAGGGCCAAGCTGTACCGTATGCAGTGAGGCGGTCACTACATTGTCCTTACACAGGTCTCTTGTGTGTGAAAAATGGAGATGGCTATTAAAATTTCACATTAAAGGAAGTGAGGGAGACAGGATTGGAGTAAAAATGTTCATTGCAACTTACCTCCTTGAACATCTGTTTGCTCAGAGTTCAGGAGGAACTGTTTAGCTTCTCAATAGAAAGGCAGAGAGTTGTGACCAAGGAGCACCTCCCATGGGCTTCCTTTGTGCTCCAACTACATGTCAGAGATGCCCAAGTTGTGCCTCTCTCCTCAGAGTAATTCTTCTTTCTACCCAGTGTTTTGTCCTTTGGCAATCAGGACTCAGAAGAAGACTCGGGAGGCCAACCTGTGGCTGCAAGGAAGCTCCTTATCTGAAAAAATAAATTCTAGTAATAAATAATAAAATAATAAAATAAATACTCAAGTGCTACAGCAACCTGTCTGACATGACCTATGGCAGGAACTTGCTGCTTACCAGCTAAACACTGAATCTGGATGATGGATTCCCAAAAAATAAAATCCCCATGCAAAAGGACTGGAGGATATGGTTGAAATTTAAATGAAAAATGTCTTCTAGGAATTATTCATTACCTCAGGTATCTAAGTGATAGAAGTATGGGGAATGAAGGATTAAGATCAGTAAATAGTTGTGCCAAATTCTCTTAGGCTGTCAGATTTATTTTTCTTTCTTTTTTTCCTTCTTTCCTCTCTCTCTCCCTCTGTCTAGTATTATCAGGTTAGGCATTTGAATTTGTAAAATAAAAAAAACAAATTATACCATTTTAAAGTATTAATTGGATACAAGAAAACATTGTTTAAAAGACAGAAACTTATTGATAGCTTTCTTATTAGGAAAGGGAAGTTAAGGTATAACTTGGGAGTAAACGCTGCTGAACTCAGTGTAGTTCTGTGTGCAGAACTATCTGGCATACAATTTAAATAATGGAAGAAATCTTAATTAAACTTAATTCTATTGTCAACTACAACAGCCTTTAATTTTTTTCAGGCCATGGAATCTGTTAGTTAGGGGGGAAAACCCTGCTTAAGGAGTAAAGCATTCATGATAGATAACTGACAATAAAATGAAAAGTAATTGTTTATTGGAAATGCAAAACTAAAATTTCCATTGCACACAAAGTAGTACTTGAATTTCACAATTTTTGAGAGGTTCATGTTTTTGCCAAACAAATCAATGACTATGATGTGATTGTTTTTCCATGGATAAAAGTTCAGTATTTAGAACTACCGATATTACTTGTAAGCAGATATCATTTTCTGTATTTGGCTTATTTCTGTATTGGTTTTGTTGCTGCACATTACAAGAAGGTTCTTACAAAGGTACCTGGTCACAAATGGCATCAGATATGTCTATGCTTAACTGACAATTTCAGGATATTCCTTCAGAAATTCTATCCAGAAATTCATTACATTCTGCATGTGGAAATTTTTATATTTAAATCTCTCAAACTTGGGTCAGCAACACTGGCATTTGTCTTCCTTTTTCTGTCTTCATATTTTTCTGTACTGTTTACATGTTACTGTTATACCAATTTATCGCCAATTATCCATATCTAGAAAAAAAATCACAATGCATCAATATTTATCAGGCCTTGACAAAAAAAACCCAAAACCAAAATAAAAATAGTATGAGTGATATACCTCTAGTGGCCTGGATTTTTTCCAAGGTGAATGCTTTGCTGAAGCTATTAAGCACTTACTTTGCCCTCATCTGCCAGGATTTGCAAATGATTATGATTCTTGTGTTGTGTTTACTCTAGACGTCTCACACCAAAGGCATTTGAGATACAGCTCAGTGCTTTAGAGCTGAACAATGCAATCTTAATTTCTTTATTAATTCCTACACACAGATTCCTCACAATTTGGACAATTAAGAGGGAAGGAAAAATTATTTTTCTTGTGCTGGTAATCAAGTTACATAGGTTGGGATGACTTTGGGGTAGACATGGAGTTTAATTTTATTGTCTATGGTGAGAGAAAGACAGCCACCTGCCAACTGTCCATAGCCCTTGCCAATGTTGCTGAAGACAAATTGTGAAGATATTATAGCCAATGAGAAGAGAAGAACATATCAAGGGGGGAAAAAAGATAGCTGAGTGAATGTCAGAGACCATGTTTGTGGTCTCCTTTCCTTAATCTTTCACAGAACCTACTCAGCCCAGTTTATGTTTGAAAAAACATTATTATGCAGGTCTCATTCTTAGAGATAATTGTTTTGCAGCATTTTTTTTCCTAAAGTGATCAGAACTTTCTATGGTTGGTAGAATGATGGCAGAAATGAGGGGCCCCTTTGCATACTCTAAAAAGTAAATAGTTTAGACTTAAAGTTTAATAAAACAAGATTTTACAAATGAATATTTTATTAGATCAAGGATTTCTAGTGTCAAACCCCGATATCTGGATGGAATTGATAGTGGAATTGTATCAGAGATGGTTAATGGATTAGTCAAACCCCACAATTCCTCCCATGGTCACTTTGTTTCCCTCCTTTCCATTATGGTTAATTGGATTTTATCTGAATTTTTAACTGCATGGTAATTATTTATTGTTTTAGCATTTTAATGTTTAAATGGTATTAAAATTATTTGACAGTAAGCTGCCTAGGGTTGCCTTGGCAAAATGTGTGGAACAGAAGCCTAATAATAAAAAAGCAATCAAATAAACAAGTAAACTGATAGGTACTAAATACAACTTCTCAAAATACAAGTAAAATGCATGGCTATAAATAATAAAAAGTCATTAAGATGAAAAAAACACAATTTCCAGAGATATTACTTACCCCAAGTGGTATCACTGGCAGAGGTGTTTATTTGGCAAAAAGGTTGTTGACAATAATCAAGAATTTTCCTGAATTAATGTCATGTCTACAGGGACAAAATACCTGTTTAAAAGTACTGTTCTAATAAAAGATGGTTTCCAAATCTGAAAGTATTTTCCCAAGATTAGAGTGCACATTTTCAAACAAAAGACAGAATTGATCATTTTTACTAATGGAGCTTTTGACTAGAGAAGCAGATTAAGCAAGAGGCTCAAAACATAGCAGAAAGCTATATTATACAGAACAATTTTGATTTAAAAAAAAAGAACAGGTCTTCAAGGACTTTAATGCTTCAATAAATAATATTTTATTGCATATGGCTATTAAGGATAGCAGCCAAGATCAGTAAAGACTAAAGACTAAATTTTAGTTCCATGTTTTCTCCTCCCCAGCAGCATCACTGATCATTTCTATATACATAGTGTGCATTGGAAGACACAGCAAGATAAATTAAGTGTTTTGCCTTAGCACAATGCCAAGAAATATATTTACTATATCAATGTCCGGAAACAATTATATTTCTAAAAAGAAAACACTGCTTATAACTGTTAATGTTACATAGCAAAAAATATTTAAAATTTAAGGTAAAATCAGGCAGAATGTACAAAGACCCAATATACATAGCAAAGTGTTAGCAAATTTAACATTTATACATTTTGGTTTCATATTGTAAACTAGATTAAGAATGTAACTATTTGCATATGCCTTTGTGAAATGTAAAGTATTGACAATGTCAGTATATATTCAAGCTCGTTTATTTTAGAAACTAACTAAATTGACTATTATGGTATCAGGAACTGACTTTCCCCCCCGAAGTCTTTCAGATGCAGTGCTCCATTACTTGAGGACACAATATCCAGCTATCTTTATTAATTTAATTTATGACATTCCCTCACAACTTAATGCTTTCAAGATTTCTGGATCACAATTTCCACAACCTAAGCCAGCATGGGCATTAATCAGGAATATTAGAAATTGCAGACAAAAAATTTGAAGAAATGTGGGTTACTTTTTTAAAAAAATTGATAATTCCATTCTTCAACATATACTCTCCTCCCATTCCCTCAAGAACAAAAACTTTGAGTGAGTAGAGATTACATTCAGATGCATGGTTCTACAGAGCCCTCTGCCAAAATGCTCAGCATGAAAGCAGGAAAATTTTGAACTGTCTTGAGCTCAATAAAGATAGAAAGTACTGCTTCTGGTGACATTGTGTTCATTGTCTAAACACAGACAATGTTCAAGGAAAAACCTATGGTTGCTCTTAGTAATGATAACAATACATTTTTAAAAAGTCTCTTCAATCAAAAATGGATCAGAAGCAATTCACAGAGGACCATCAAAGCTCTGAATATAAGATATGTAAAAATAGCAGCCATGACACCGTTATTTTCAAAATACTGAATATGTAGGTTCTTATGAACTATCTTTAGGAGACTGACTGAAAATTTTGCCCTCTCCCCAAATATTATGCTTTTTTAAAAATGGAAATCATTATTTCTTGTTGAAGAAAAATATTCAGCTTTACTGAATAATATGTAGAATGTTGTACAAAAGTTTGCCATCTTTTTGTCATGTATTACCCTTCATTTCTAAATTTTTGTTGCAAGAAAATGAGCTAATACCAAGAATAGCTGATAAATATAAGCATACAAACAGGATAAAAGATCTCTGAAGTCTGCAGAAATTTAAAAGAAATTCTCAAACAAATGTGTCAGAGGTATAGAGTGACATCCCAATACAGTTTAATGGTACCAAGTTTTGCTGCTTCCATAGCATATCTTATATTTAGCAGAAATATAGTGATAGAAATCTAATCTCTCGTTTCATCTTGGCTTTAAGTTTTTCAGGTCCTATTTTGGGTTGCATGTAAGTAAACGAAGCAGCCAGACAGTAGCAGGGTTCTTGATAAATTCGGTAAGGCTGACAACTGTACTATGCCACTGAGAGAAAGGAAATGTCAGCCATCCCAAACCACAATACAAATCCAGTTTGACTTTTAACTGAGGTAGTGCTGTAGAGGTTTGAAAATATGCTAGTAAACACCAAATTTTACTGCTATAGCATGTGCAAGCAGAACCTCTTAACATGCTGAAGAGTTAAGTACAGTTCATTGGTACTGAAAAGGCAATGATCACAATCCATCAGCCGAGGTCCAAAGTCCTAAAAGATATCACGCTGAGTACAATTTATGCAAACAGCGGCATAGTGTTGCAAAAGATCCTGATAAATGAGAGAGGTTGCTTCTTCTCCAATAATAATTAAGAAATGTTCTGAAAGCTACATGAAGTAGGGAGAAAAATGGACCTTATAGCAGCTTAAATCTAAAATGATGACAGTTCTACCAAGTATAAGGGTGAAACTGGTTTCTTCATTCTGGAAAGGGGAAAAAAACAAATCAGTAAGTTCTAATAAAAAGTAACCAAATGCACAGGCTATCCTTATGTACTAATTTACTGTTTTTTTTTTCTTTTCTTTTTTTTAAAACAAGTTTTATTTATTACAATATTTAAAAACATTGAATGTGATGGACTTCTTTGAGATAAATTTTTGTCCTTACATCTCATATATTAATTTACTGTTGTTGTTTTTCAATTACTGATTAATGTAGGCATGTTTACCCTCCTCATAGCTAATTTCTAAGTTCTAAGGAACCTTCTTAGGAATTCAGAGCTGCCCCAGAAATATTAGCTGCACATCTAACATTAACTTAACATTACACTGCTAAATTTCCCTTCAGTATCACTGCCACAATTCTAGAACCAGGAAGAGGAGATTAGAAGAGAATTTATCCACTTCCTCTACTAAGGCTAGAATAAACATAAGTGAGCAATTATTTCAGGGAACACAAAAGACTCTTCTCTGTGTTACTTGATTTCTTTACTACATGCTATTTGGGAAAGAGAAAGTGTAGATTTATGATGCCCTTCACATTTTTCTTCTTGTTTTACTTAGTACAGTTTTTTATTATAGGTTCAAAGGCCAATTTGACAAAGAAAATAAATATGATAAATGTCCAAGAGAGGTAATAAAACAACAACCCATGCAAAACTGGGGACTCAAGCTCATATATTTTAGAAACTGAACTATTATGATATTCGGGGACTAGATGTCATCCATTTCCACGGTTTGTAACATAATTATGAGTATTGAGACACCAATATTATGCATAATGGCGCTCAGGAATAATTTAGAAAATATACTTGCAATGTGTAGGAAGAAAGTTGCATTTTTCAGCAACTCTTTAAAACAGCTGTATAATTTCTGAGCAGTCACCAAAGCATCATTCAGCTCTAATGAACAGACTGACTGAGAGCACCACTCATCCCATTGATATCAAGAGCATTCAGGAAGAGCAAGCAGCAAACAGGTGGGGAACACCACCATGAGCAAAAAGCTGGACTGAATGAGGTCATTTTCACAATATTTTATAATGTGTTTTCCTGTATTAAAACTTCATGCTGTGAAGTCTCCAGTGGTTGACTAGAGACATCCTGCTAGCCGGTTTAATTTACTAGCCTCCATTCCTTAAGATGGTATAAAGTACACCAGCACAAATTTAGTCTGTCAAATAACCAGATTGTGATGCACAGTGTTTACAAAAATTGAGAAAGGTGCAGTGATTGGTGGACTGTTTTGCTAATGGGGAAAGATCCACGGTTTCCTCCCCCTAATTTGGGCTGAGGCTGGGATTTGGGAAAGAGGTTGATCTGGAGGAGGAATTCCAGGAAAACAGGAGAGGCTCTCTTCCTTCCTTCCTAGATCTCCTGTTTTGTGTGTGGGGTTCTGGGGAACAGCAGTATTTATTCTCTCCCCCAAGATTCCCCACATGAATTTCTCATACCATATGAGTAGACAGAGGCTGAGCAAAGAGTCCTCCACCATCATATGACCTGTTGTAGGAAGTCAAGGAAATGACTTTGGAGAAAGAATTGAGGTGCTGTTAGAGAAACACCAGGTGCCGAGGAAATGTGCATTAGGTCCAAAGAGGCAGAAGAGTATTATAAAGAAACTCAGACTAGCCCTCCTCTCACTCCTCTGGCTGAAAGGGGGAGAAAAGGGAAGACATGGGCAGACTTGTAAGATACTGTCACTGCAGCCTTTCTCATCAAATATAGTTCTGGTCTTCCAGTGGAGATTGCTTCCTAGTCTGATCTATCTGGAAAAGCTGACACCTGCCTACACACTGTGAGGAGAATCCAGTAGATACCCCATATGTGGTGGCTGATGGTGTGTGGTCATATAGCTATTAAAGCAACATCTGCCATTGATGCAACCCAGTGGTGTGGCTACCAACAAGCAGTATGAGAGAGAGGTCTTCAGTAATTGATAGGCAGCTGAGATAGGAGTCCCCTAGCACCAATGGGTAGTTTGTGAGTTGATTACTGCTATGAGAGGTTGAAACTTCTTTCTGTTACCGTCAGAGCCATCATTATGCACATCTAGCCAGGCTGGTACTGACTGAAGGGGGAAATCCCCACGCTGTGTTGCAGGGCAATGCTGATCTTGTAACCCCTAATTATACTGATAACTATGCTGGCCACTTTGCATGTTGGTGGCTCAGATGATTACTGGCAAAGCTAGGGGACATTTCTGCTGGTTCAACAATTATTGAATCTGCTGACATGCATGCAGTAGAAAGGGGGTGGAAGTGTGCCCACCTGCCAAAGGGTCAGCGGGAGAGGGAGATTCCCCAACACCACCACCCCCGCCGCCATTTCCTCCATATTACTAGCTCAGTTACTGCCATGGCTTTGGTCAAGAGAAGATGAAAAAAACCTCAAATTCTGATTCAGCTACGGTTTTGTCTCTGGTTTGGAAAGGAGAGGAAAGGGTTGTGTAGCATTCTCTTTGATGTATCCAACCTGACATAAAGTCATTTATGAGTACTTTCAAGTTATGGTAATTTAGGAATCTATTTTACCATTGTATGAATTGCTTTAATTTCTGGCACTTTTCAATATTAGTAATCCAGTTACCTATGTAGATATACATGGTCACAATCCATAGACAAACTAGGCATAAATTGCCCATTATATAGTCCTTCCATTTTCAATGTAACATTTTACTTATATTCACAGATTTTAGGTTCTTTAAAAAGGTACACATTTTCTTGCAGCTATGAAAAAAGAAATATTTTTAATTGGGTTTTTTTTTTAAAGTATAATTAAACAAATGGTTGTAAGTTGAGGAATACCTGTGTACACCTATTTTGTATGCTCTTAGATGACAAAAGATTTTTAGATATTAAAATATTCTATATATTATTAAATTTATTTTTTAGATATTCTAGATTTATTTTTTGAGCTGAAATGAAGCAGAAAGTGCAGATCTTAAAAATGACAGTAGATAAAGATCGTTCCTCCATAGTTCTTTGATTCTTTTAAATGACAAGTGCACAGTCCTTAGTCATTTGGAAGTGACTAAAAACAGCACATCGTATAAATTAGGACTGACGAATACTAGGCAGTGGTGGGATTCAATTTTTTTTACAACCGGTTCTGTGGGTGTGGCAGGGAAGGATACTGTAAAATCTCCAGTCAGTGGTGGTATTTGCCAGTTCTCTGAACTACTCAAAATTTCTGCTACCGGTTCTCCAGAACTGGTCAGAACCTGATGAATACCACCTCTGATACTAGGTGAATGCATTGCCTTAGTGTCTTGCTTATCTTGTAAAATACACTTGACCTTATTTGATTCAGCAAGTTCAAAGAATCAACTTGAATAGGAGCTGTGAATCAAGAGGGCATTTGGAGGAGCAAAGTAACGCCCAGCTGAGGAAAAGACAAACACACCCAAACTTGATATTACTTTATGCACTTTCAAGATCAGGGTTATTTCATCTTTTTAGCTTTTACCAACTTTGTGCTAGACAAAACATAACTGCTAATTTCTGTGAGGTACATCAAACTTACAATTCCTTCTATTGATTACTACAGTTATTCTGTTAAGTGATAGCATTTTCCGTATTATTATTTGGGATGGGTATAATTTTAAAGTTAACATCAATAGATAACACTGAAAGTGCATTTTGTATTCACTACTCCAGGTTTCCATAACAAACAATTCAAATTTATAGACCTGTTATTGTGTGGCTTTGTTAGAAATGTTGCAACGCCAACTGCTCATAAAAATTATGTAACTATTCCATAATAATTAACCACACTGAATTTAGCAAAGTATCAGGAATTACATGAACTTTACCTTTGGGAGGGAACAAAAATAATAATCATATAAGTCTTGGCTAATAAATGTACATTCAATTTACAGCAGTGGATACTTGAGGCCCATTTTTTGTCAACATCTGAATCTATTGGGTTTGTCTTTCTTTTTTTAAAGGGCCAAGGAAGAGGACTTTTAAGCAATCCTTATTAAAGTTGTTTTGATATACATTTTTGGGGTTTGTTTTACATCTCTTGTATTATATATGGCGTACATATTGTCCATTCATAGTAGGGCAAGCTGACATGTTCTTTTTTCTCCTGTGTTTTTTCTTCAGTAAAATAAATAAAAATAGTGCTACCATTCCATAACAGAGTAGAGCAATAAGAATTCCCCAGTGGGAGTAAATATACAAGAGAGAGAATAAAAGCATAACTGGTTCAAGATCTCTATAGCAAAATAAAAAGATACATGGGTAAAAATGTCAATAGCACAATTTTATTTATGTTTACTCTGAACCTAGCCAACTTGTCTCATCTCAAAAACCAAAGCAGAATAAGATCTGGTCCATTAAGACTATGGTACCTAAACTGCAAAAATCTGGACTTCTAATTCAACAGCAAAGCATTCAGCTCCCCTATTTCTGAACTTCCTCAAACACTTGTCCTGGTGTTTGGTTTGATATGGTAGCCCTATATTAGTATTTGGATAAGAGTTCTCCTGAGGATATCGCAGATGCAGTGGATTAGATTGAAAAGTTGAAAAAACATCCGGGAAGAAGGAAGTGGCAAATGAATTCTGTTCTGCTGCCAAGAAAACTTCATGGTCATGTTTATGAAATCAGTAGGAATCCAGCTCCACTGTTAAGGAAAACACCTACTTACTCTGAACGACATCCCTTTTCAGTAGGAATTAATCAACCGGAGCATCAACATGTTACTGGAGTAAGAAATAACAATGCACTAACTGAGTCTCACATATTTAAATTTGGAATACTTTCATATAACCTTAAGCTAGCATCTCCCACAAAAGTTTAGCAACATAATTTAAAATAGGCAAAGCCTTTTGATTTTATACTTTCTTTGGCTCTAATGGCTCTTTCAAAAGCTCAGTTAATTGAAAGGGAAGCAGGAGTAAGTTTGCAAACTCACCTTTCGCTAAAGATGTTTTTTTCAGAGTGTGGGCCAGAACATTTATACTGGCATAAGTACTTCCATTGATATTTCCATTGAAAGGATACCTGTCTTTGTGCTCGACCTGATCTCCAACTGCAAGATCACTGCCATCCAATGCATCAACAGCAATGTAGTTGAGGCCATTCTGGAAGCCAGCTGAGGTTTCCCGGCACATGGGGCTGCTGTTCTGTTCCTCTCCCCCCAAGCCTTCATTTTTCCTGAGGGACACATTTTCCACAGAGGCCGAATTCTGCCGCTTAGGATGGTGTGCAAAGGAAGGAGAAACAGGAGTCACTGTGGTGGTAGATAAGAAAGTTTCTGAGCTGTGCCTTCGACGCCCCTGAGGATCAGCACGAATGACTTTGGCTCCACGATTGGGATCAAAAGGACGACTAGCGAAGACAAAAGCCTCCACCTCAGGAAGGGTAAGCTGCTTCAGGCCAGGGCCGGGGCCAGTGACACAAACACTTTCTGGCTTGTGTGAGATGGGCTGTGGTGGTGCGGTGGCAGTGTTGAAAATCATCTCTGCATAGTCACCAGCTTCAGAAGTTGGGCTGGAAAGGCAAGCCATCTGCACCCCAACCTTTAAATAATGCTTGTTTAGCTTCCCGGGGTTAGGGCAAGACCCTGGCAAAAGTATTTCTTCCAAGGGCCCCAGAGAGATGGCGTTTGTCTGCGGACCGCCAAAACTGAGGTTCATATAACTGGAAATCCTTGAGCTGTTGTGCCCACCTAAGCCACGTTTAAGCAGAGAAGATAAACCCTCACAGGTTGGCGCCAGGGAGTAGCCAATATCAACATAATCTCCACTGGAACTCTGAGGTTCCTTTAGAAGAGGCTGTTCGTTCATGATGGGTAGCAAAAGCCCCAGAGAAGGGTGACTGGGCTGGGCATTGACTGTCTTTTGGCTGAAAGAGGTCTCCGTTTGATTGCGTTGCATGGATAAATGCACTGCAGCATTGTTGCACGGAGCAAGAAAGAATTTCCCTTTGGGAGTGCAATTCTGTCCGCCTGTCGGGGAGCTCATAAGCACGTACTGGTCACTGTCCTTTCTCTCACCGTGGGAATCTGACGGCTGTTGGCATGCATGCAACAGGCTACCCAAGTAACCAGCCTGGTTTCCAAGCCTCAGGGCACTGAAATGGTCAGTAGAGAGCATAGGTGAGTCTGAAGCAGAAGGTCCATGCAAAGGGGGCAAAGGCAAAGGGGACATACTGATGTAGTCATCGCTGGCCAATCTTTCTTCTGGACTCTCTCCAGGCAGCCTAGTTCTGGTACCCCACATATGCATGTAACCACAATCGTCTGGAGAAGTCTCCCTGTTGATTTTGTAAGAATAAGACTGTGCAATCTGCTGTGGGGCTGACTCACTGGTGGGGTGCATAGACATATAGCCATCAGGATCAGTCTGCAATGACACGACAGATGATACGCTGGGACTCATGGGCATATAGCCATCCTCCTTAGGCACACCGCAACCTAAGTGTGGCCTATCACTGCTGATGCCACCACACCCAATGTCCACATCACAATAATCCTCGGGATAAGGAGTATAGGTTGTCTTTGGTGAATATCCCGCTCTTGAAAAGGTGGCCTGCATGAGAGTGTACTCGTCGAGGGAGGCGGAGGAAATCGGAGGCGGCGGCAAGGAGCCTTGGTGTGCTGGTGTTGTCAAAGAGTAAGTGCGCTTCCTGGGAACCTTGTCCTCTCCACAAAGATATGGCTGGTGGCGAAGGGATTCCCGCTCCCTAGCAATGTAACCATCCAACTGCCAGCCAGGAGGAGTCTCGGGTGTATTGCTAGGGTGGCTTGTTGCTGAGGAAGATGAGAAAGGCGGTAGCTCTCCAGCTGGACTAGAGCCTAATTCCTCAAAAGTCATGAAGCCAGCTAGGTCACTGGGGGAACCAGAGGCAGAAGCGCTGCAACTAGATAAGCGCTGAGAGGCCAAACTTGGCTCGGGGGTCAACTTTGGTCCCAGGGAGGAAGAATGCCCTAAAGCTAGGGAGCCCCCAGAGTGGGTGGCCGCTTGCCCTCCTAGTGGGCTAAGGGCCCCTCTGATTCCAAGGCTATGTGGGATTTGCCCCGTTTCGGGGCTCAGGGGGCTGCCAGACAGCGAGTCAGCCCTAAGGCCATCACTCTCGCTGGCCGTCCGCACCCGGCTGCCGTGGCTGCTGCTACTGCTGCTGCTGCTGCTGCTGCTACTCCCTGCTACGGTCAAGATGTCAGTGCGCGATCGGCGGAGGAGGCCAGTCTGGCTGGGGGGCAGAGGCGCCAGCGGGTGATGGGCGTGATGGCGGCGCCCGGGGACTGAGATGGGCCGGCTGCACATAGACGATAGTCCCCCGCCGCCGACGCCCGCATTCACGGCGACTGTGGTGGCGGCGCCTCCGGACGAGGAGGACGAGGACTGGCTCTTGCTCCGCGGACGGAACTCTACGAGTTCCCGCAGCGCCTTCATGGCCTCCAGGATGGTCTCGTGGATGTTCTGCGCCACCACCGAGTCGTCGGCTTGCATCCAGAGCTCCCCGGGCCCTGTCGAGGCCGAGCGGCCGAGCTCCATGAAGAAAAAGCTGTCCGAGTGCCCGCAGCGGCGGATGTTCATAAGCTGCAGCGTCACGCAAGGCCGATCGCAGTTGAGCCGCACCAGTCCGACCGTGCGCGCCGCCAGGCACAGGCGGTGCACGCCCGTCAGGTTGCGGCTCTGCCCGAGTCCCTTCGGCTTCAGCGTCACCTGCCACACCTCGCGGTAGGCGGCGGGCGCAGGGAGCCTGCAGCCCGGGGGCCCGTAGCTGAAGTCCTCGCAGGAGGCCAAGTGGGACTGGTGCCGAGGAGAGCCCAGTGCCGCGGCCTGGCTCTCGTGGAGCAGCTCCGTGATCGCTTGGTACCAGGCCTCCTGCTCTGGCTCGCTTTCAGCCGCCAAGGCGAAGTACTCGTCGCGCGTGTAGAGGGCGATGAGGTGCTTGTGCTTGGCGTCGGCTCGCTTGTGGATATTGAGGCAGGCGTCGAGGACGATGGTCCGCTTGGGAGCCGTGGACTTACTCCGCCACTTCTTCTCGCTCTCGTAGTACTCCAGGCGGGCGGGCTGCGGCGGCGGCGACGCCTCCTCCCCCGCTGCCGCCCCGCCACCGGGGGCGCGAAGCACGAAGAAGCGCTTGTGGCCATGCTTCTGCTTGCGAAGGTAGCCGCACTTGCGCACGCCCGGCGGTGGCTGCTGCTGCTCCTGTTGTTGTTGCTGCTGCTGTTGCTGCTGGTTGTTGTTGTTGTTGTTGTTGTTGAGATTGGGGCCAGCCGAGGAGCTGCTGGGCGATTCCGGTACGGAGGAGGTCGCCATCCCCCCCAGGACGGGACGGGGGTTCCGCGGAGGGCGAGCCCCCGAGTTTCCGCGGCGCCCGGCACCTGTCCCCGCTCTCTCTTCTTCTGGCTCTGCTCTCTCACCCGTCAGCTCGCTCTCCTTCGCCTCTGTCCGCCCGAGAGGCTACTGCGCAGGCTCCCTCAGTTTCAGCACCACGGACGCAGCGAGTTACTTCTCGCACTTTGCGCGTCCCCGCGAAGAGCAAAACAACACGTGAACTGCCGGTTACCCCAGCAGTTACCCAGACGCTCCCGCACACGGAGGGAGGGGGGCGGGGGAGGTTGCAGGGAGATGCCGCCTCTGGCCTTTCATCTCACCGCGCTCCACATTGGGCGCCACGCCGCGTAAAAGGCAGCTTGCTCTACCAATAGCGTGGAAGACAGAACCTCCCCACCCCCCTCGAGGCCTCTGGGGTATTATTGGATTGGAGGCTGGCGTCTTTTTCCTGCCACGCCTATCAGTCCCTCCTGGTTTCCCCCCCTCCCCCACACACACACCTGTCTCTGCAACAGTATTTCCGTGCGGAGGAGCTCCTGCGCAGTGAGCTGCGTTTTCTGTCCTCGGGCAACTGCCTTGATGGTCCAAAGCCCCAAGGGCGCACCGGAGTCCTAAACGCGAGATTATTTATTTTGCAGTTTTAGACAGAGCTGCACGTGCACGCGCATACCTACTGGCCTCCATCGTGAGTTCACAGCGTTGCGTGAAAGCTCTCCTAAGGACTGGAGTACTACGGGCCAAGCAAGCCCTAAATAGGAGGGAAAGAGAAGAGCAATTGGGTGTTTTCTGCTCTGGTGATGAGGAGGTGGATGCAGTAGGTTGAAAAGGACTAAGGTAGGAGAAAATAGAAGCGGAAAAAAGGAAATAGGCATCTTACAACAAATCTACTCTTGCACTGAAACTTGTCACTTAACTTCAACTGTTCCCCCTGGGACTTGTTTCAGAGGCCTGGAACCATCTGGGTGCTGCCTTCTGAACTTAGTCAGGAATCAGTGTCATTCTGAACACATGGCATCAACAACTGGTTGCAAAATTTCAGAATCCTCCCCCCACCTTTTTAAAAAAAAATGGTGGTTGAATTGCATTGTTGGTTCATGGCTATTAAATTTATTATTACTACCGAGCAAGAATTATTTCATCCTGGGGAAAAAATCATTAACAACAAGAAAAAGAACACACAAAGACGTGTGTGTATGTGATGTGTATATACCTTCAATAGAGACACACACACACACATATAGCCTGCTGGTCAGTGTTGAGTCCCTTAGTTTTTTTGTTAAGGTTTTTGAAAGTGTTTTGCCATTGTCTCCTTCCTAAGGCTTAGAGAGAGAGAGAGAGTAATATATAAGGCTTATAGTAAACAAGCTTGGCTTTATGCTTAAGGCAGGATTCCTGGTTTCTAGCCTGGTGCCTTAACCACTACACCAAACTGGCTCTTTTAAAATATAACAACAGAAAATTGCCAAGGAGACTATTGGGCTGCTAAATGACAGAACGTTAAAAATATGCTAGGTAGTGCATACATAGTTAATAAAGTATTTGCTTTCAACTTTGTTGGGAAAGATATATAATCTCGGCTTATGCCTGAAATAGTTTTTTTCAGGAAGAGAAACAAAGTAACTGAAAAACATTAGTCATATAATATGAAGTTATATGCCTACTGCCAAATTAAAAATAAGAAAATCCTGAGATCGGAATTTCGGGATCAGATATTTGCCTCAGAGTTCTTAAATAATTCATTTCCAAATGTGAGATGAAAAAAAGGATTGGGAAAGGAATCTTGGGATCATCACAAACCAATGAAAAGTTGAACCTAGTACATGGTTGCTGTAAAGTAAGCTTGGACCATTAGAAAGGGAACTGAAAATAAAACAGGACTGCCTTATAAAAATCTAGAAACACACTTGGCATATTATCTACAGTTCTGGTTATTAAACTGAAAAAGAAAAGACATTGAATAATTTAAACAGTGTAAAAAAAGCACCTTCTCTCAGGATTAAGTGATTTCCTGAGTTGCCCCCTCAGAAAATCATGATTTGAGGTCTATATTATAATGTATGGTGTGAGCAGTGTGGTGGCCTAAAAATGAAGATGCTCACCTCCCATTTGGAAGGTTTAGAGTTTAATCCCAGGTAACAGCAGATGTTTCTCTCTTAGGGCGTAAAGAAAAAATATCTGCTGAGAACTCCACATAGGCGTCAGAAGGGGCATCCAGCTAGTAAATGCTTAGCTGCATTCAGTTGCCCTGACTCTACTCTGGATTAAAGGTCTAAACTCTAAAGGGTCATAAAAAGAAAGAAAAAATATGTTGTAAAAAGTAGGTAAGGTTCTCTTGTCCTAATGTTTGATATAATCCATTGCTATTAATACAAGGCTATTCAGGACTGCAACACCAAAATCCTTTTTTACATATTTACATACATATATTTTCATTAAAAATTCAGATATATTCTTTCGTCTATGTCCATCATGTTTTCCTAAGCTAAACAAACTGAATTCCCTGCCTGCCAGAGCTGAAAGCATAGAATCACTCATTCACTCAATAGAAGAACACTTAGCAACACGTTTTGAAACAACTATACAAGCAAGCCTAATGTCTCTTGAAAAAAAAAATACAGCACAGATAAGTGATTACCTATCAGCTCAAAATCAGATCCCACAACTACCACAACTACTACCTCAACTACAATTACAACTACAACCAAAAATAACCACCAAACCACAGCCACAAACAATTACTATCCCATCAAATAATTCCACAAATAATATCCCCTTACTCATCAGAGACATCATGGAACGTGATCAGAAACGTCCAAATGCCAACTTATTTGGTCTCGAAGACACCAACGAATCAGACGACATCACCAAAGTTTGCGATATCATAAGCAACTCAAATATAACAAACATGTCCCCTGAAGATATTGAAATAATCAGAGATGGCCCTGAATACAAATACAATGACGGCTCTGTGGCCCCAAGATTTTGTAGAGTTGTTTGCAAAAATGAGTCCAGCAAACGTATATTCATTCATACAATAAACGCCATTGCAAAATCCAATCCCACCCATAAAAAATTTCACTCAAGATCAGACTTATCCATATTGCAAAGAATCCGCTCCCGTGAACTCTGCACAGAACTCAAAAACCATCTAGACAATGGAGAAAAGGACCTGTACATTGACTACCGTGCTGACTGTATCAAAACTAAGTCACACAACCCACAACTTAGCATCCAACCCCACTTCAACCAATCCACCATCACCCAAGACTAGGCATACACGCCCCCAACTACCTCAATTTCAACTACAGCTGGCCTTAAATGCAAGCTACTCAATGCAAGAAGCCTTGTGAATAAAATACCTGAATTTCTCCTCTTATTAAATATGGCTAAACTTGACATCATATTTATCTGTGAAACATGGCTCAATGCATCTCTCCCTAACTCCATTACCACAGTAAGAGACTATCATGTTTACTGATCAGATTGTGAAATCCGTAGAGGAGGTGGTATTATCTTCTATAAAAAGTCCTTACATCTAAAAAGCATCCAAGTTACCCAGGAGCTTGCTCTTCCTGAGACCATTGTCTGTGAACTGTCCTTAAATATCACATTTTGGCTCTTACTATGTTACAGAGCCCCCGATTATGACATCGAACATGCAAACAAGCTAAATACACTACTAACATGGGCAGCATCCTGCCCACATGCTTTTTATCTTTCTTGGTGACTTCAACCTACCTCATATTAACTGGACCCTTAACGAATGTACAACTGAACCCACACATGCAACCTTCTACAATGCTGTAACAAGTCTGGGACTAGAACAACTAGTAACCAACAATACTAGACTTAATAACTGCCTCGCTCTCATCTTCTTCAATAGTTTGAATTCAATTTACAGAATACAAATTAAAGAACCCTTTTCCAACAGTGACCACAACATGATTGACTTTTGTCTCAACATACGTCCACACAAAAATCATCACGACGGAATCCCCAATTATAACTTCAAAAAAGGCAACTATGATCTTATAAACAACGATCTCTCCCTTGATTGGCAATTTCTATTCTCTGGATGCAATACTGTTGAAGACCATTACAACATATTTTTACTTGAAGTCAAAAGAGT